AATGTTTACTTTAAAGCTTATTTATGAATTATTTTCTTTTTGATAATTAAGGAGAATTTTCATCTTTTTCATCCTCATTGTTGTATTCTTATCATTTGGTTTTTTGTTTAATTGAGTTGAATCAATTAATTCCCTACAATTATCAAACTTCTTCTTCTTCTTGGCTTTTGTAACAAATCTTTTACGGTACAAATTAAAAAGAAAGGGCAAAAAGTAAGAAAAAAAAATCCCTCTATTGTTTTTGACAGCATGGAGAAATGATATTTTTAACGATGGGGGGCTGCATGGAAAATTAAAAAATGAAAAAAAAAAAAAGAGGAAGAAGAAGAAGAATGATGGAGACTAAAAACTACTCCTACCAACCTAGCACCTTCCCTGAATCCTTTATGAATTACATGGTAGAATAAACAAAGACCTAGAGTCAACTCTTTCATATTGTTTCTCCAATCATAATGAAATCACTCTCACATAGGTTTTTTTCTTGTTTCTTTATTGTATTGGGATTAAAACTCCTTTTTTTTTCATCTATTTTAATAAAAATAAATTTAGTCTCTTTATTTAAAAAAAATTTATTTTTTTTATTTCTAAAGTTTAAAATCAAGTTCCTTTTTAATCTCTCTATTGTATTTTTCTTGTGACACGTTATCTTAATAGAAATCTTAAAATAGAGGAACTAAAAAGAGGTTTTTATAAATAGAGTAACCAAAAAGAGATTTTTTTTAAAATAGAGGGACCAAAAAGAAGTTAAAAAAACCTCTTTTTGGTTCTTCTACTTTGAAATTTTCATTATCTAATATGTAATGTGTAAAAAATAACAGAGATAATAAAAAAAGTTAGATTTTAAGCTTTATAAATTTAAAAAAAAAAGATTTTTTTAAATAGAAAGGTTAAAAACTTTTTTTTGTTAAAAAAAAAGATTTAAATAAAATTTTAACTTTATATGAAAGCCGACAATAACCTAGTCTTGAGACTTGACTAGATTTTCAAAAGCACCTTGAACCACAAGCAAATTCTTAATAGAACAAGTTTCAGAAGAACAGGTTGAATAGAAGGGGCTAAGATGAAATCAGTGAGTTTCCTAAGATTTATACTACTCTTATCCTAAATAACTTCAGTTACAAGATTTTAGTAATATGTGTGCTTCAATAAAAACAACCCCACAAGTATTCATTGTATAAGAATCCTAGTTGAAAAGCAATATGTTTCAAAGAAAACTCTAGTTAAGATTTAAGACACTTTCTCGCTTTTTTATACATTTTAGAGCCTAATCAAAATGCAAAGGAATAAGTTGTTTGGGTTTAACTCAAAAACTAAAAAGATATA